TAGACTGATGAACAGGGACAGATCCAAAGACAGAGAAACAGCGATCAGATTATCAATCCCCAGAAGGAAAGTAGGGGAGGGAGGGGATAAGGGGAAGAGATCAACCAAAGGACTTGTATGCACGCATATAAGCCAAACCAATGGACATGGACAACAGGGGCATGAGAGCATGAGTGGAGCGGGGGGGATGGGGGTTAATGGGGGGGATGAGGACACATTTGTAATACCTTAACTAATAAAGAATTTAAAAAAAAATAAAAGTCACTGTTTTTATGGATTAGAACTCAGAGAGCTGGGGTTCCTTACTGGGCCCTCTACCAAAGCCCAAGAGGAAATTTAAGCTACAGCTGAGTGAGCTGGGTCATCACCTGTGTCAGAGCCTCGTCCTGGCCAGTAGGCCAGAGAGGACTTAGGACCAGGGTTTCTGGAAACACTGTGAGAGGTGAGCAGACTCAGGACCCCTGAATAGCCAGGTCAACTCTTGGGGGAGTGCATTTAAAGGCCCCTGCAGAGTAGGGGAGGACAGCCCTGCCCTCATGGGCCCCAGTGGTGGTGCTGGAGGGGCAGAAAAGGGAACACAGCCCTACCAGGGACCCCATTTAATTATCACAGCTCTATAAGGTTATTATGATTGTCTCCATTTCTAGATCAGGATGCCAAGGTTGAGTATGTTGTCCAAGGTCACACAGGTAGTAAATGGAACAGCCAGACCTTGAATCCTTATCTGTCTGAACCTCTATTTAGGGGCTCTGCACCGGGCTGGGGAGGGAGAGGGTGAAGATTGCAGGGAACCACAGGCTGCCCTAAGTAAAGATTCAGAAACCCAGTCCACAGGACTCAGAGCCTCAGGAGCCCCAGCCTACCAGGAATCACAAAAGCAGGTTCAACCCTGAGCCTGCAGCCAGGCCACCCTCTGGGGTCAGGTCTCAACCACTAAATCTGGCTCCTGGGGCCGCTCTGTTAACTCAGCACCGACACCTCGGGTTCCAGCTGCTGGCAGCCTGGAGACGGGCACCATCCAAAATAGATCCCAGGAGTGAGCGCCTGGTCAGTCCACTGTGCCTCTGCGCACATCCACCAAGCCTAATCCTCCAACACCCCCTCCACCCCTCACTTTCGCAGCTGCCTCCCTCCCCCGCCAGCCCTTGGGTTCTGAGTCACTATGGATATGCAGCCTGGCCATTGGAAAAAAAACGAAGGTGGGGGGAGGGGGGGCGGGTAGCAGGCAGTGTGGCTGGAATAGCCTGGGTCCTGGATTCAAGTCCCTGAAGTTTGAGCCAGTTGTGACTTGTGACTTAGCTGATTGTCTTAAGCAGCTTAGAATAAGCTAACTCACTGATTGTTGGGGGTCAGGGGCAGCAGTGGCTGAGAGCCCACCGTGTACCAGTTTTAATCAGTCCTCACAACTGTGAAAGGTGCGTACAGTGGGGCCTTGACTTACGAGTTTAATTCGTTCCGTGACGGAGCTCATAACTCAAATTACTCGTATATGTCAAATCACTGTGACGTTCGCTGCGCCAACTAGCGGTGGGGTATCTGAAGCTGGCTCGTAACCCGAATTTTTTTGAGCTTGCAACTCAAAGCAAAAAATCGGATGAGAGACGGCTCGTATCTCAAAAAAACTCGTTAGTCGGGACACTCGTAAGTCAAGGCCCCACTGTATTAGTGTCTCCGTTTTACAGATAAAGAAACTGAAGATCAGAAGGGGAAGTAACTTGCTCAAGGTTGCCCACAGTTTGGACTGTGGAACCAAGGAAGGCCTAGATTTTTAACCTAGACCTGTATGAGCTGTGTGGTCTTGGGCAAGTTACTTTACCTCTCTGAGCCACAGTTTCCTTATTTATAAAAATCATATTAAATTAACATCCAATTTATAAAATTGTGAGGATTTAAAAGGTAATGTTGCCCTGGCCAGTTTGGCTCAGTGGATAGAGCATTGGCCTGTAGACTGAAGGGTCCCGGGTTTGATTCCGGTCAGGGGCACATGCCTGGGTTGTGGACTTGGTTCCTCATGGGGGGCTTGCAGAAGGCAGCCAATCAATGAGTCTCTCACATCACTGATGTTTCCATCTCCCTCTCCCTCTCCCTTCTTCTCTGAAATCAATAAAAATATATTTTAAAAAAAGATAGTGGGGCTACAGAAAGTTTTTAAACTTCTCAGATCAACCCAAGAGGTATTCCTGAGAAAAGCAGCATTTCTGTCCCATTTTAGCCTGAGACCGTGAGTTCATTGGGTGTGTGTGTGTGTCTGTGGTGCGGGCTGGTGCATGGGTGGGGTGGTATTTGGGAGAAGATGGGACAACTGGGGTAGGGAGAGTTGTTTCAGCCTGGGGGGTGGGGAGGGCGGGTCAGGTCAGGTCTAAACATGGGCAGTCTTCCAGACCTCCTTCTCAGAGGATGTCCCAACAGCCTTTTGGGCACCTTGGATGATAAACAAGTTGTCACCCTGCAAGCCCCGAATAAACCTGATAAATCCTGGCAAAGCTGAGGAGAGGAGAGGAGGCTCATCTATAAATACTCCATGACTCACTCAAGCTCAATGTTTATGACTCTGTTGCTCTGGGGAGGAAGGTCTGGGCCAGTCTGAGGTCTCAGGCCTCCTAGTTTGCTCTTCTGGAGCAAGTTTGGGGTCTGTGGCAGGCCCACCACAGCCTGGCTTAGGGTCCAGCCCATTATAGGACTCCCTTCTCTGGCCTTCCTGTCATCCAGGAAATAAACCATGTTGCTAATGGGCTGCAAGGCAGGATGGCCTGCCGGTGGGGCACACACACAGGTTTCTGGTACCAGAAAAACATAGGCTCAAGTCTCAATTTCATTTCTTATCTAGCTGTGTGACTTTAAGCCAATCACTTCACTTTTCTGAATCTGTTTCCTGAACTATAAAATGGGGTAACAATGGAAATACCTTCACAGGATTGTCATAAAGAGAGCGCATATAAGGCACTTCCGCAGTAACCAGCATGCAGTAGACCCCCGGGTAATGATCGGTATTATGATTACAAATCAAAGTCTGTTTAAAATACTATAAGGTTCTCATGTTAATGACAGGTGGAGGCTGCTGAATGGGATGCAGATAACCGCTGTTCACACAGGGAAAGTCGCCCTGCCTTACCCCTTTCTGCTGGCTGCCAGTACTTGCCAACTTGTCATGGTGCCACCCAAATGCTCACAGACCAGCTGGCCCAGGGGGAATGGGGTGGGGGAGGACAGAGGGGTATCAACCAGTTTGGCAACAAGTACATCCCACAAACCAAGCCCCTCACCTTGGAGCGAACCATCCCACTGTACCCTCTTACCCATTATACTTTTGGTAAAAAAGAGCCCTTCTCTGAGGACAGCTCTGTTGCAGCCAGGTTTCAATGCATGAGGGAGGAATTTGATAAAATTGGAATAAGAAGGACTATAGAAGGGGTTCTGGTTGTACATGAGCGCCGGCTACCCCATGTGTTACTGCTACAGCTGGGAACAACATTTTTCAGACTACCTGATGGTGAATTTAACCCAGAAGATGAAGTCGAAGGACTAAAATGCTTAATGACAGAGACACTTGGTCATCAAGGCGGAGTCCCACAGGACTGGATCATTGATGACTACATTGGTAACTGGTGGAAACCAAATTTTGAACCTCCTCGGTATCTATATATTCCTGCACATATTACAAAACCAAAGGAACATAAGAAGTTGTTTTCGGTTCAACTTCAAGAGAAAGCCTTGTTTGCAAACCCTAAAAATTACAAGCTGGTAGCCACACCACTGTTAGAATTGTATGACAATACACCAGGACACAGATCCATCATTTCTAGTCTCCTTCAGCTTTTGAGCAGGTTCAATGGAGAAGTCAAAGAAGCCATCTCTGTGAGCACAGCTCTACACCATATAGAATAAACATGGTAGAAAAGTTTTGTTTTATCTCTCTCCCAACCCCTAAATTGCCACCTGCTTGCTATTGTTTGAATAGTAATGTTGATATGAAGAACTAGATAGTGGTGTAAACAAATACGATAATGTTTAACTTGCTTTTGTTTCCACTCATATGGTTTTGTACATTAAAGAAAGTGGATTTTGAAGGGGGATACTTGAGGATTTGGTCTCCTCCAGAAAAATATTTAGGGAGCCAGTGGTTACTCCAGAACTTTACCAACTCTCTGTTTCCCAAATATGAAGGGCCAAAGTATGAAAACAAGAGTTCCCAAGATTGGTAGGGCAAAGGTAAAACAATGTCATTTATCAAATACCTACTATGTGCTAGCTACTGTCACTAACATCATCATCTCATTTGACTCCCTAGCTACCAGCCAGGTATAACTCCCCTTTGGAGACCAGTAAACCAAGACCCAATGAAGTTAACTAAATGGCAAAGCTGGGATTTGAACCCAGATCTGTGTGTTTCCAAAGTGCTTGCTATGCGTGGCCCACTGGACCACAGAATCTGGCTGCTTTCCTGGTCTAGGAAGGTGACCAAAGATGAGACAGGAGTGAAAGAATGAAGAAGGAAGAATTAAGAAGCTTGGCAACAGCCTGGGTCAGTGTAGAGAAATAGAAGGACAATTGGAACTAGAAAGCTGGTTGGGGAAGACACATGACTTTGAGGTGACCACTCTGTGGCATCCACCAGCAGACAAGTGAAAAAGTGCAGCTGAATTTAGAAGAAAAATCAGCCTGTGATGGAGGGAAGAGTCTACTGCTCAAGACTGTCTGAAATGGCTGTCTGAACTTAAAACCCCTGAAGACCCTTTTCTGCCAGGTTTTAAAAGCCCTCTTAGTAGTACCCACCTCAGGACCTTTGCACATGCTGTGTGCTCTGCCTAGAATGGTCTTCCCTTCTCAACTGAGATGTTACCTCTTCAAAGACACCTTCTAAACCACTCTGTCATCAAGGCTTGACTGTACTTAGAGTGCTGGTAATGGGTGGCTGATGTTACTTGCTCTTGTTTTGTGGCCTTTGTGATAAGCACTTTGCATGTATTATTTTTATCCACTCCTCATGGTACCCTAATAGGTAGGCACTAATATTACCTTAATTTCAAATAAAGAAACCTAGATTCAGAGAAGTTAAATATATTGGCCAACACCAAAATTAGTAAATGACAGAGGTGAGAGAGGAACCCAAGTCTTTTGCCAAAACTCTCTTCCCAAGTCCTTTGATATACTGATTCCTCCAGAGGTCTATTGCAGCATCAACTAATAAAGTAAAAAATTGGTTATCCAATGACCAACTTGGAAAACTGTGGTCTTCTGAATTCTTGAGTTAATTAAATACTAGAGGCCTGGTGCATGAATTTGTGCACAGGTGCCATGGGAGGTTGGCTGTGGGAATGCACTGACCACCACGGGGCAGCTCCTGCATTGAGTGTCTGTCCCCTGGTGGTAAATGTAAGTCATAGCGACCGGTCAACTGGTTGTTCAGGTGCTTAGGCTTTTATATATAGAGAAGTATTCATTGAATACCTACTATGTGCCAGGCACTATTGTAGGTACTGGAGATACAGAGCAAGAGAGCTTATGTTCTGGTGGGAGAAGACAGACACAGACATAAAGAAAGATAATTTCTGATAGTAATAAATGCTATCAAGAAAAGAAAGCAGGCCCAGCCAGTGTGCCTCAGTGGTCGAGTATTGACCTATGAACCAGGAGGTCATGGTTCAATTCTCAGTTAGGATACATTCCCAGGTTGCAGGCTCAATCCCCAGTAGGGGGTGTGCAAGAAGCAGCTGATCAATGATTCTCTCTCATCATTGATGTTTCTATCTCTCTCTCCCTCTCCCTTCCTCTCTGAAATCAATAAAAATATATTTAAAAGATAAGAAAGCAGGATAATGGGATGGAGAGAAACTTGCAATCAGGGGGACTGCTTTAGATATGACATTCAAGGAAGCCCCGCTCCCTGCCCCCTGGGAGGTGACCTGAATGATGTGGAGAAGCCAGTCAGTCCTGTGGCAGCTGGTGGGAAAGCCAGGCAATAAGCTCGGCATGTTTAAGGAACAGATAGAATATTATGCAGGCATTCTAAAATATCATTTTGAAAGCTAAAACCTGGAAAAAAGTAAAATAAAAAAGGACAAGATACACTAGGATAGCCCTAACCGGTCTAGCTCAGTGGATAGAGCACCGGCCTGCGGACTCAAGGGTCCCAGGTTTGATTCCGGACAAGGGCATGTACCTTGGTTGCAGGCACATACTCAGTAGGGAGTGTGCAGGAGGAAGCTGATTGATGTTTCTCTCTCTCCCTCTCCCTTCCTCTGTAAAAAATCAATAAAATATACTAAAAAAAAAAAAAAAAAAGATACACTAGGATAACTATTCTAGTGCCTGCGCACACCTTGTCCCAACCTTTGCTAGATAGACAAAATTCTCAGAAAAGTGACACAGTTATTTTATTGAAGTGGAGTAATTGTGGGTGGTTTTTAAATATTTTCCTTTTTAAAAATCTGCTGTTATCACATTATTGTTTCTGTAATTTTTTAAAAGTAAAATATAAGAAAAAACATTTTTTTTAAAGTAGCACAAAAAGAAACATTGAGTCATTAATAAAAATAAATAAGGAGAATAAGACGACAAGTCACACACTGGGAGAAAATATTTGCAAGACACATATTTGATAGAGTACTGGTATCCAACATATACAAAGAACTCTTAAAACTCAACAAAAGCTTGGCAGGTGTGGCTCAGTGGTTGAGCATCGACCCATGAACCAGGAGGTCACTGTTCTATTCCTGGTCAGGACGCATGCACAGGTTGCTGGCTCAATCCCCAGGAAAAGGCATGCAGAAGGCAGCAGATCAATGACTCTCTCTCAGCATTGATGTTTCTATTGCTCTCTCCCTTTTCCTTCCAGAAATCAATAAAAACATTAAAAAAAAAACTCAACAAGGAAATTAACAACCCAATTAAAACATGGGCAAAAGATCTGGAGAGCTCACCAGAAAAGATATAAAATTGGCAAATAAGCATATGAAAAGATGCTCAACACCATATGTCTAAGGGAATTGCAAAGTAAAACAATCAGATACCACTATACACCCATTAGAATGACCCAAAATCTGCCTTAGCCGGTTTGGCTCAGTGGATAGAGCATCAGCCTGTGGACTGAAGGGTCCCAGGTTCAATTCTGGTCAAGGGCACATGCCCAGGTTGTGGGCTCGATCCCCAGTAGGGAGGGTACAGGAGGCAGCCAATTGGTGATTCTCTCTCATCATTGATGTTTCTCTCTCTCCCTCTCCCTTCCTTTCTGAAATCAATAAAAATGTATTTTTTTTTAAATGACCCAAATTCTAAGCACTGACAACCAAATGCTGGCAAGGATGTGGAGCAACAGGCACTCTCATTCATTGCTGATGAGAACACAAGATGGTACAGCCACTTAGGAAGGCAGTTTGGCAATTTCTTATAAAACTAAACATACTCTTAGCATACAAAACAGCAATTGTGTTCTTTAGTATTTACTCAAATGAAGTGAAAACTTATGTCCACGCAAAAACCTGCACATGAATGTTTATAGCAGCTTCATTCATAATTGCCAAAACTTGGAAGCAACCAAAATGTCCTTCACTAGGTGAATGGGTAAGTAAACTATGGTACAGAACATTATTCAGCACTAAAAAAACCCCACAACCTACTCAAGTCACGTAAAGACAAGGAGGAAATTTAAAGGCATATTACCACGTGAAAAATAATCATTCTGGCCCTGGTCAAATAGCTCAGTTGGTTAAAGCATCTTCCTGATACACCAAGGTTGTGGGTTTAATCCCCAGTCAGGGCACATATAATAATCAATTAAGAATGCATAAATAAGTGGAACAATAAGTCAGTGTTTCTCTCTTTCTCTCTAAAAGCAGTAAGAAGAAAAATAATTAATCTGAAAAGGCTACCTAATGTATGATTTTAACCATATGACATCCTGAAAAAGGCAAAAATATGGAGACAGTAAAAGGTTCAGTGGTTGCGAGGGGTTTGGGGGAGAGGGAGAGATTAGCAGGTGAAACACAGGGAATTTTTAGGGCAGTGAAAGTATTCTGTATGAAACTTTACTGGTAGCTGCATGTCATTATACACTTGTCAAAACCCATACACACAGAGTGACCCCTAATGTAAATTACGGACTTTGGGTAAAATGACCTGTCAATGCTGGATTGTTGATTGTAACAAATGTACCATTCTGGTGCAGATGTTGATAGTGGGGGAAAAATGGGAGTGGAGGGTGGTAAGGAATTGGGGGGGGGGTTATTATATGGGGACTCTCTGTACTTTCTGCTCAATTTTGCTGTGAACCTCAAATGCTCTAAAAAATGAAGGTTATTTATTTTGAAAACAATCAACTTAAGAAAACAAATAAGTATTGTCTGGTATGATTGTCTGGTATGATTGTTAGCTCTGGTAGCGAATGGGAAACTCCTGAAAGATCTTTGTTCCTTGAGTTCTGCCACCACTCACCCGGGAAAACAAGAAAGAAGTCCTGTGTGAAATGAAGAGATTGGGCTACTCTTTGCAGGACAGGTAATGTGTGCTAAGCCCTGTGCTTTACATAAATCATTTCATTTCTTCTTTCAACAGCCAAATGAAAATGTCTGTATTACACGAAGGGTTGAAAATTCTTTTTTTAATTAGATTTCTTTCTTTTTTTTAAAAAGAATACTTTATTGATTTTTTTAGAGAGAGAGGAGAGGAGAGGGAAGGAGTGCAACATTGATCAGCTAGCTGCCTCCTGCATGCCCCCTACTGGGGATTGAGCCCCAAACCCTGAAACCCCTGGCATGTGCCCTTGACCGGAATTGAACTGACAACCTCCTGGTGCACAGGACAACACCCAACTGACACACACCAGCCAGGGCAAAATTATTATTATTATTATTATTATTATTATTATTAAACAGCTGGGAAACTGAGGC